AGCAACAAATTGTAGTACGTAATTAACCAATGTGTATCAACTATCACTTGATAATGACTATATTGACAAATAAGACAAATTTGAAAAGTAGAGAATGGGTTCTAAATGAACCACATAAGAGTAAGCAGGAAGTATTAACATTATCAAGAAACCTAAAAATGTTTTGACATTCTCTTTATCAAAAGTCTAAACTACATATCAAAAAAATATGAAAATTGTAAAGTAAAAGCCCTTGCACACTTCCAATATATTCATTACGAAAGATAGAGAGAAAGAGACAATGAGGGCAAATGTTGAGTAAACAGATAAATATAAAATGTGAGAGAATAAGCTAAGGGATGGGATCCCAAGGAAAATTAATGAAAGGTGAAGCATAGGTAAGTGAAAAAAGTATCAACATGGAAAAAATGGTGCAAAAAAATAGATATATTTTGATACATAAAAGATTTAAAGTAATAACTAAAAAAGAAGGATAGAGATGATTGGATAATGAGAGAGAATAATAACAAATAACTTAGTAATATAAAGCACAAAAAGGAGGGAGATAATTTAGGCTTTATAACTTCTATTGGTTAAAACTTATAACTTTGTGGATATGTTTATAAATTTATTGCAAATTACTACATTATTTGTGATTTGAAGATATTTAATGTCATTGTAATCTAGAGAAAACAAAAAAAAATCTAATGATAGAAAGAGAGAGAAAATTTGATTAAAAAGATATATAATAATAGATGAAGATCCTAGGGATAACTAAGTTAGAATACTATTAAGCGAGGATAAAGAAAAATAATAATAACAAACAAATTATTAATATAGAAAGGGAAAAGGGCAAGCTTATCAAAAAAAAAAAAAAAAGGGAAAGTCAGAATGTCAGATATAGTTTAGAGTGAGCAAAGGTGAGAGGAAAAATTAACAAGTGGGAGGATAAGGGGAGAAAAAATAACAACAAACAAATTGTTAATTTATATATATAGAAAGAGAAAGAAAGTGAGGACAAATATAGGTAGATAGATAAATATAATGATAAAATATGTGAGCTTAACGGCATCCTAGGAAAAATTAATGAAATGTGGAGTATAAGTACATGAAAAGACAACAAGAAAATAGTGCTCATCAGTTATGTCTTTCAATATTTTGACTTAAAACCTTCTAACATAGGCATTCTAGAAAGAGGACACAAATTAGCCCCTCAACCTAAATCAGTAGCATACAACCCCCTAAACTCTTTGAAAGTGGCAAAAAAACCTCATCTGACGCATTATAAGGCTTACCTTGTGTTCAAGGCAACAAACACAGCTTATGGATATGAGTACCAGCCTGTATAGGTGAGTGTTGGACTTGTTGGAACTTAAGGTCATAAACAAACTGTGTTTTTGAGTAGAGGCAGAGAATGGAGACAGAGGTACTGGAGGCAAAGACGATGAAATGTAAATGAGTATTTTGCAGTTGGCTGGTCTCTGGAACGGTGGTCTCATTATTCAAGGCATAGAGATCAGGCCAGTCAGCAGTAAACAAACAATAAGATTTCGTTTCCATCAATGTGTTTACACCATAAATTGCAAAGTTGTTTGATGATACCACATGTAACGTTATTTGAACAAGTGGTTACTATTACGCTACATCAGATATGTTGCTGTTATGATCCCGAGAATGATAAACCACCCAGATGGACGCCATGTGAACTGTCATATCTGTATATTTGGTAACTATCTCCTAATTATCTGATGTTATGTGAGTTAGTGGAGATATGAATTAATATCTGCAACACCCAGATGATTTCTAGCATCTGAAAATTTGCTAAGATACATGATTTTCATAGGAGACACATGGAACTACAGGTTGTGGAAGTTTAAATATTGAAGCTAATGCTAATGAAATAGTTAGCTCAGAGCATTCAGTTTGCCAGTTGCTAGAGGAGACAAACGAACTACATCTAGTGGGGAATGGTTTGCAAAATGTAGTTAAGGACTTTAATAAGGGAGGTTTTCAAGAACTATATATTTGCAGGCAAGACGAATTCTAAGAGATGGTGGTGAGAAGCACCCACAAGAGAGGGAAGGATGAAGGTAGGGTTAGTTGACTTCTTCAATGAAGGTAGCAAGGATGGCGAATTGACAATACATTTGTTTTGCAATTGTAGTTTAGCAAGACGTAACAAAACTATTCTTTCACCTTGTGTGTTTTGTGTGTGGGAGAAACATTACTCCACATATAAATGTTAAATTGTGGTTGCAATGCACTAGTTTCATTTAAGATGTTTGCTCTATTATTACCATTTGAACAATGTATGCCTAATCTATGGAGTTATTAACTAATTTTTATGTGATTTAGAGTGTTTTCATTTGGTTAGTTGTATGAGAAAACATTGCATCGAAAATTTATGATTTTAACCCTGAGTTTTCTATTAGGAGCAAAGGAAGGGCTATGTAACTCATTTTGAAACTTCATGATTAGAAATTTTTATTGAAAAAAAAAATTCATGGATAGTCAATTGATATCAAAATTGAAAGAAATCGAAAATAACTATAACAATATTAAAAATACGTACTAGATTAGTGCGTGAGGGTTTTGTCTCCTCTCTTGGGTTTTCATAGCGGCTTTCCCTGTTTGATGCCGAGGCTGTCTGGCCGGCCCGTAATGTGGTTGTCGGAGACGAACGTTCTCTACTCGATTTGATTGAGTTTGGGTTGCGTCCAGTGATGCCGATCTGTTGGTGTTTATGCTCGGGTTTCCCCTGGGAGTGCTTGTCGGAGGTGTGGTTTCAACTTTCAGGTCACAGACTGGGAGTAAAACCGTTGACCCGGTCCTGGTCCGAACGAGCCGGGTCTAAACTTGGGTTGGGTGTTTGGGTCTGAGACTAGGCTGGAATTAGCTTGGAACAAGAGCAGACGCATTTGAATTTTTTTTTCTTTTCTTTTCTTAATTTTAAAGTAAGAAATTAAAATAATAATGCAATGTGTAAACTTAATTAAACACCAAACAATTGAAAAGAAAATAAATTTTAAAAAAAAAGTAAGACAACTGTAAACAAAAAAATTCATTTATTTCATGTGTGATTTTTAACATCTTATTACAATTATTATAGAAATAAAAATAAATTTGTTTTTAATAAAACTAAAAGTTAAATTTAAACCCTCTTAAATTTAAAGAAAAATCATAACGCCAAACCTAACAAAATTTTATGTTATTTTTAAACGTTTAGATTTTATTTTTTTTAGATAGAAAAAGGATTTTTTTACAATTTTTTTTTTCTCATTGATCACTCTTTTCTGTTTTGCTTTTAAGGTTTTTATTTTAAAATTTATGTTTTATTCTTAGAATACACATTTGCTGAAATTTTCACCCTTTATTTTTTAAAAGTATATATTAAGTGGTATAGTTTTCTTAATGAAAAGGTAAAAATAATTGAGATTTTAATCATTCATTAAATTATTTTGGTTTAGTAGATTGATTTTTATTTCAAGTGTAAGAGATCTTGAGTTCATTTTTTGTTGCTTTCAAATTTTACAGATTAATAATTTATATCTTAGATTTTATTAATAAAAAATAAAATTTCTAGCAAAAAAATAAATTAATTAAACTATGCTACATCACACTACTTTTTGCCGCATGTTTTATGTTAGTAACTCATTTAATTTGGAAATTTTTTAGAGGATACAGTTATAATCACCAGTAAATTTGTTAAAACTATTAAAATTATTAAATTTTTATCTTAATTTGATTATTAAAAATAATTTATAATTGACAAAACACTTAATATTTATTATTTAACATATTAAAATCAATTTATAAACAAATATTTCTAAATATTATAATCAACTATTTAAAGAAAAAACTATAAACTAATAAAATTACAGTCAAAATTGGTGTTTTAAACAAAATCTTTGATGGCAATAACCTTAATTAACTTCTTTTAGAACAGAAGTACTAACATTTTTATCATAATTAGATTATAATTAAGTGAAAGTTAACAATTCCCTTGTTGAAATGAGATTATCCAAGAGAATTTAATTTATGTGATAGTACACCATATTTAAAATAATAAATTTAATTTAAAAAAAAAAAGAAAATATTGCAACAAAAATGCAGTAGCTTATCATTATCAAATGAAAGGATTATATTAACAAAAAATTGAGATGATGTGGTAAATGTATTTCCTCGGTTTATCTGAGTGTAGCTTGTACTTATCACTTTTGATGGAATTTTGAAGAATAGAACTTGTCAGATTCCTATAAAGGATTGAAAAAAATCAAATGAGAATATGAATGGATTTAGTACAGAACTTTATAAAAATGAGTATCAATCATAAATCTCAAATAATTTTCAATTTTCTCATTCTTTTGTACCATCAAAATTAAAATTATAAAGCTGAAATGATTTCTTTGTCACATGTTGATAGCTACTCACTTCGAAATCAAAAAATATCATATAGAAATCTCAAGGTTCAGGCATTTTGGATTCTAAAGCCTCAACATATTAAGCTATTGGGCGGTCTACATTGATTTTTGCAGTACACTGCAGGAGGTTGCTTCTTAAAAATAGCCTTCAAGATCTCAGGAGTTTAAACTGGTTCCAAACAGCTTCAATCCCTTCATGCTTCATAGTCATTAAAAGCCCAGTAACTGCTTAAATCAAATGCTCACTCATTTACAAAATCTCCAAAAAAATAAAAATAAAAATGGTGACTTACCTATCAAAAAGGCATAACGCTTTATTTAGTCCCCAAAATTATAAAATTTAAGGTTATTTGTTCTCTTCACCTTAAGGCCGGTTTCGTTAAAGCGTCATTTAATAAAGATTCATTAAGGGCCTGTTTAGTTAGAAGGCTAACTTTAAAAAAAAAAAAAAAAAAGTAAGAAAGTAATTAAAAAAGTATTATATGAAAAACTAAAAAATATTATATAAAAAAGTGTTAAGTTTCGTAATAAAATTTTATTAAGTTATTAATTTTATTGTATTTAGTAAGAAATTGATATAAGAAAAATTAATGAAAAAAATTATTAAACGAGTCCAATATAGGCAGACTTTTTTCCTAGTGAAATAGGTGAAAAAAAAAACTTTATAGGCTATGGATTGTATTAAGAAAAATAAAAAATAAAAATATCATTTTTATTTTTATTTTATTGTAGTATTAATATATAAAAATACATAAATAACTTTAGAAAAAAGAAAATTTAGAGAGCATTAGGAAAGAAAGTTTCTCAAGCAAACACCCCCTAAAATTGAAGGGTATGAGCTCCAAATTACACAATTTAAGTAAAATAGTTCCAATTTAAGGAATTTATAATAAACAGCTAACTACGAAAGTTAAATATCCATTTTTCCGATTACATCCAATGTCCAATGACAAGTGACCTTCCTTTCCCCAACACTGCATCACGCACATGATTTTTTTTCATTAATGATAACATTTAAAAAGTTATAGAAGAGTCCAGGTCGTGACTCTCCCACTTTCTTTTTTTTTTTTTAATTTGTTTTTCTTCACTTCTTTTCTTTTCTCTCTTCCAACGAACTTTGCCCTTACCCAGAAAAAAAAAATTAAAGAAATGTAATTTCATGTCTAATCTCTACCTCAATTTTCAATTTACTTGCATTGAGTACTGTTGAATTCATGCATCTCTAGTTGAAAAAACCACTGGCTTAAAGAGTTTGATGTCAATAGTCGATATGACCACATTTGTCACAATTGTCAAGGTTTGTATTATGGTAATGCCTTCCGTAAAATCTGGTTTGTCATTGATCTCAGGTACTTCTCATCATATTTTAGAGGTTGTACCTATTAAACTCGCCATTGAACTCGTCAAATTACTGCTTTTAAGATTAGAGAAAATAAAGCAATTTTAAAACAAAAGAAATAAAGAGAAAAAGGAGGGCAATAGAGAAAATATGAAAGACAGTGGCGACTTTTTTGTAGGCCATTTTATAATTTTTTAAATGTAATTGATAATGGAAAAACCGAAAAAGTCCATAGTGTGATGCAATGTTGCAGAGAGAAGTGTCATGGTCATTGTACGGACAAATAGATATTTAATAAGTTACAATTTTGAAGTTGGAAAGATTCAAAATTCAATTTTATAAGGATCTGGTCCTTCGAGTCAAGTAGGTTTGGTTACTCTTATAAGGTTCATATCCCCTCTCTTAAGGTAACGGTTCGAGCCGAGCTCATGACAAAATGTTCAAAAAAAAAAAAAATTTAACTCTATAAACATACCCATAACATCCTCAACTCCATAAACATACCTATAACATGGTCTATAGTTACTAAAACTAGAAAGTCAAATTAAAAAAAAAAATGCAAACTTAGAGAGTCAAACCTTAAACTACAAGTATTCTCTTGTTGTGGTCAAGTGGTGCCACTGCAGCTCAAAAGAGTTATCGATGGAATGCATCTCGATCAGTGATCAAATTTTATTAATGAGTAAAGTACTAATTTCTAACTCCCAATTTCTAATTATTGTTCTTGTCAAAAAGAAAAAAAAAAACCTTAAACTACAAGTTAGCTTAGAAAACACCCTACCACGGACCTGTTTATAATTTTTTTAAACGTAATTTATATTGGAAAAAGTCCACAGTGTGAATGTGTGAAGCCATGTTGGAGAGAGAAGGGTCATGGGTCATTGTATGGATAAATAGATATTCAACTTACACCATTAAATTTCGGTAATTTTTGAAGTAAAAAAAAAAAACTCCGGTAATTTTTTTCAAATTATGTAATTTGAGGATTAATTTCCTTAAATTTTAAGGAAAATGGAGAACAACCTTAAATTTTATAAGTAGTGAGGCTACACAGGGAGGTTATGTCACAAAAAAAAAAAATTTAAAACTTAAATGACTTAAATATAAAACATTTTCTGTTTACTATCAATTAATTGTAAGTAGGGATCCCGCTTTATGTTTCAATTCACATATTCAATTCCACAGCCTCTGTCTTTCTTACAGCATTGCTTGTTGCCATTTTGCACGCACTAAGATTTTGGAGAACAATAAGATGAAAGTGAAAAAATATTTATCTACTTTATTAATTATAAAAATAATAATTAATTAAAAATTATTTTTTAAAAGATTAAGGGAGT